TGATAATTCTGCTTCACAATGGAATAAAATGTTTATTGTTTTTAACACAGAAGGCTGTTGAAAGCATGTAATACCTCCCCTTTCAATATGTTTTTTAACCTGCTAAGTTTTTTAAACTCTTATAATATGAATGACTGCTGGGAAAAATATTAAAGCAGTGAAAAGCTGTGTGAAACTACCAATGTTCTAGATCAGGGGTCGGCAATCTGCGGCTCGCAAGCCACAGGCAGCTCTTTGGGTACGTTCCATCTCAAAAGCTTGCCAACCCCTGAAAGAACCAATCCTGTCCCTCAGAACAATTTCAAAATTATTCAAGAGCCATAAATATATGTTTACAAATAAGGAAAATTTAAAGAAATATTATAAATGAAACTATGATAGTTTTGTTTTCATTTTCAATTTTACTTTGGAGCGACATACATGTACGTACCCAAAGAGCCACATGTGGCTCGCGAGCCACAGTTTGCCAACCCCTGGTGGCTCTTCCGTCTCAAAAGTTTGCCGACCCCTGGTCTAGATAAACAATTCCCTTTATGGTGAGTGCATTGGGGAATGTAGACGGAGGGGAACAGAGCAGACTGAATTTCTGTAATGAAATAATTTGAAAATTGAAGCAGGCAGATTTTTAATTTATATGATCTATGACTACAATGTCTATGTTTAACAGTTTTTAATGGTGGAAAAGTTAGATGGTTCATTGAGATGAAATATAACTTTACCCTTACCTGGCCTATGGAACAAAGTCTAAATGCCTTAGCTTACGGTTCCAGAAAAGTATTGTATTTAAATGAGGCAGCTTCTGAGTCAGCCAGTCTGAGTTCAAACCCTGCCTCTGGCTTTCACTATGTGATTTGGGGTAAATTATTTAATGTCTCCAGGATTCCCATATCTGCCATGGAGAAAAGTAACAGTGCCTCGCTCATAGGATTACATGAGGAGTTAAGGAGATACTGCCTGGGAAGCTTCTCGGCTAATAGTAAGCATTCAAAAAATGTTTGCTACTATTAAGGCCATTATTATGGTTATGATTGATATTATTATTATTATTATTATTATACAATCTGGCCCCTGCCTGCCTCTCAACATTATTTCCGTGACTTTCTCTCATTCTGCGCAAGCCCCAGCCAACTACGCTACTCAGAACCCCCTGCATATACTGGAAGGCTCTCTGCCTTCTGGTTGTTGCCCTGGCTGTGTGTAGGCTGAGTAACCACTTGGAGGGGATGTTGTCGAGGCGAATTCAAGCCACAGAAGGGAACTGGGTTCAGTGAAATCCCCCTTGAAAGTTCCTTTTGGCCCTAAGATTCCATCGGACCAACAAAATGGACAAGAAATGTAGCAGCACAACATTCAACACTCTCGAGAGTGTTCTTAGGCTCTTCTCTGCTTTCCTGTCATCCTCCACTCATTTTTAGCACACTAGCTGAGGGAGCTTTCTCTTTCATCGCTCTGAGCCAAACGGGGAACGGCCACAGGAGGAAATCCTGGAGAAGACATTTCAGCTAAATGTAAGGCAGATATGGGCTGCAATGGAAGGACATACTTAGACTTGGTAGATAGGCCTGGCTGTTTGATTTTGAACACGTTGCTTACATTCTCTGAGCCTCTGTTTCTTCAGCACTAAAATGGGGCTGTTCGTCCTTGCTGAAGAGGGTGAGAATGAATCAGATATTGTCTACAGATCGTCCACTAAATAGCGTTTCCTTCCTTCTCCTTTCCTCTCCCTGCCATGAAGGGGGGACTCAGGCTTTGTCTTTAAGGGGTTTAGATGAGCAGATGGAGATTGTGGGGTCACCGGGGAAAGCGGGTGGAAGGCAGGTGGGGGCAGATGGTAGGAGGCCCTGAAACACAGACAAAGGGACCTGGGTTTGAGAAAGCAGAGTTGGGAGGCTGGCTGTTGTCACGGCCCCTCTCTTCCTCTTCTGCCTTCTCTTCTGGCCAGTACTCCGCACAAAATGTAAAGGTTAAAAGGAACAGGACTCATTTCCATGAACTCAGATTTCAGTGGCTGTTTCCCCAGCATTGAAAAGAGCTACAAATTAGCCCAGGCCACCCTGGAAAGCAAAATAAAATACAACCTCCCCGGACAGGGACAGCGCTTCCTGGTTCCACCCGCACCAGCTTAAAGGAGGGCCGCCCTCCAGTGCCTGCTCTCTCGGCACATTTTTCACGGGGCGCTGTGGCCCACGGGGTGAGGAAAGCATAGTAGGTATCGGTGGGCTCTTTACTGGTCTCTCACTGGAGAGCCCCGGCAGCTTGAAGTTCTTTTGCACCTCTAAGCCTCTGTCTTTTCAACTGGGATTGAAAGCCCCCTCCATGGTGGTTGTGCCCAGCACAAGCTAACCACTTATAAATGGTAGCTTCCACGAGGCAGGCATTATCCCTGACATCTGAAACATTAGTACTGAAAGAATTTAATTATGTGAAGAAAAAAGCGAGGTGGCTAGGGTAACAGGTTCAGAGTGGGGTGGAGCTGGGTTCAAGGACCTTCCCCACTTAAGTCAGTTCAATGCCACACCATGGCTGTTTACTGAGCAAACTACTGTACTGTCTACCAGCCACTGTAGGAAACACAGCAGCCTGCCTCACTCTTTCTGGTGATTCTCAGGCATGGCCTCCGGTAGTGTAAGTGAAGGCTTTTCTGTACCCCTTAGCGTAAATAATACAGAGTGGCTACTGGCCAAGTTACCACAACAATGCTCTCTAAGCCTCAGTTTCTCCAACTGTTAACCTCTCCTCATGAAGAAGGGGTAGGCATGAAAGGCAAAGAAAACTGCAAAACACCCATTACAATGCCTGACTCTTAGAAGGCATCAACCAATGGCAGTTTCTCATTTGCTGAAAAACTAGCAAACGATCTCATTTTCACTAGTGCTTTATGAGACATAGCTAATATCAAAACATCTTGAAATTTTAGTGAATGCCAAACACTAAAATATTATTTTTTATTTTTCTCAACCTTTTTCCCAATGAATAATAATACCACCACCAAGTGTTAACTGTCATGCGCAGTCCTAAGCATTTAGGTCCCCAAACAACCCTGTGAGGTTAAGTACTGAAATTATTCCATTTTACAGATGAGAAAAGGCAGGCACAGAAAAATCAACATGGCCAGGGTCACACAGCTCTTAAGAATATTCCTTTAGTTTGCATTTTCTTTCATCTGCCGGTGTTACCCTCTTTTCATTCTCTCTAGGTCCCTGACAAGCGGGTGAGACAAACCCAATACAGGAGGCCTCCCTTTCTCCCCCTTCCTCTCTATCTACCAAGGCTGCTTGTTATCAAACTAGAAAGCCTCCAGGCAGTTACAGATTTCCACTCCTCCATCTCCTCTAGAGACAGTGTTTCCTGTTTTCTCAGCAAGGCCTAACCCTTTCTAAGGCCAAGGCCTTGAGAAGAAGCCCCGAGCTGTCATCAGGGCACATGGGGGAGGAAAGAAGATTCTTCACAGCAGCGGGGTGAGGGGGAATCGAGTCCCAGAACCTACAGAAATGGTGTCGGGACACTGCATCTGCCTGCCGAACCCGGCCAAAAGACGCACCCGGCATCATCTTTTGAGTTTTCACAAGAAAGCGGACTCTCTTCAGACCAGCCAACTAGGGGAGAACCAGGGGGACCTGTAACCAGAGCGGTGACATCCAGTGCCTGCACAGCAAGGCCCAGTGCCCCCAGTGGGAGAGCGCGAACTGGGGAACCAGATGGTCAGCTGCCCCTCCCCTGTTCCACACTCTACTCCCAGGAAGAAGGAAGTCAAGTGGATGAAGAAATGGGGAAGTCTGAGCGGCCCCTGCAGCGGCTTTTAAGGGGTCTATGTAACAGTTGACTCTGATCCTCAGTGAGACAAAGCCTCTGCCATAAACATGATCAGCAAGGGGTTTCTGGAAACATTTCCTCAGAATGCAGCAAGGGAGGTGTACTGTACGTGCTGTTTTGCATCTCAGAACAATCTCAAGTAGCTCTTTTCCCTTTCCCATGCCCACTGCTCTCCCAGGGTGTGGTATTTGTAACTAGTTTCAGCAGCCAGGGGGCCTTAGTACTGAGTCAGGTGCCATTTTGGAAACTGCTTCTCCCTACCTAAATCTTCGTATTTCCAGATATAGCTTAGAAGCGCACTTCCAAAATGTCTTGTGCTGGAAAGGCTTCCTTCACAATATAGACTTCGATTTCTAAATTTAATCTTCAGAGTTGAGAGATAATGGGATTGCAGTCTGGCATTCAACACGGGCCTCCTTAGCAATCACTTTTATAATTTAGGAAAATAAGGAACATGAAAGTAAAAGAACTTCCTCATTGTCAGGCAGCAAGTCAATAGCAGAGCTTGCACTTATTTTCAAAAGAGGGAGACGTTGGACTCTATAAACTCCAAAAAGATTAACCTCAAACCAGCAAATATTCCAGTTATTTGATTTGGGTGCTCACAAAAATTACAGCGATGCAAAACATATGCATATCACAGTAAAAAAACCTTTTTTTTAAAAAAAAAACCACTTAAGGGTGCTTTATCTCCCACCCAAGTCACCAAGAGCGCTACGGAGGAGACAAAGAGGGCCGGGTGGGGCGAATGTAATTCCATTGGCCTGAAAGCTGAGTCACACGAATCACACCCCTGCAGTGAGCGAGGCCCTCCGGCGAGGGTCACCGCACCCTTGCTTGGAGATGGCTGCATCAGACAAAGCCGGATTCGCAGTAAAGGAATGCCTGTTCCTCTAGGCACCACTCTGGCCCTTAGTTATCCTGCTCCGGTCCCCAAGAGGAGGTTGCGCGGTTGTAAAAATCCATTATGATAAAATAGACATAAAAGGGTAAAGTGCATTATGAAGAACGTATTGGAGGATGGGGTTTTGTTCGTTTTATTTTTCCACCCTCGTTGCGGTTAAGGTGCATTGGTGGTGGACGCAGGGGTGGGGGTGGGGGTGGGGGTGGCAAACGCCAGAGAGGCCAAGAGACTACGTGCCCGACACGCGGTACGAAAGAGTTAAAGGGGCCGGCGGGTGACATCACCTCATTTACATAGGGGCGCGCATATAGCTGCGCCCTCCGCACCCCGCCCGGCACTTCGCGACCGCCACTGAGCAGATCGGATTCTACTCGTTCGCGTTCCTCGCTCGGGTGAGCCACGGGGCCCCTGCCTCCTGTCCTCTGGTCCATCCCTTTCCCACCCGGCGCAGGCTGGCATCCCTAAACACGAGCCCCCATGGCCCTCCCGGGAAAGGCTGCTTTGGGGGACTGGCGGATGCCAAACCCTTCCAGAGTCTGGGTAACGGGGTTTCGGGAGCTGGGCGATTAAAAAAAAATAGCGTTTTGCTATACGCAGCCTCTTGGGAACATCCCCCCCCCCAAGGCATTCTACAGCACCTTTTAGGCGGTGATGAATCTGGAACAGAAAGATCCTTTGTTCCAACTCACACCCACCCAAAGCCCGGAGCTGCAACAATTGCCATTTTCCCTCCAGCCTCGGACGGCTTCGTGGGCTGTATGGGTCCAGGTTTAAGGTGTTGGGGCAGAACTGTGAAATGCTTCAAGTCCTCCTTGCAGGGGAATGTGTGCCGAGGCTGCCTGATGGCCCCTCGCTGCAGAGGAGGAGGATTTGCGGGTGTGGGGGCAGCTCTGTACGGCTGGCTGCATTGTTGCGCGCCAGTGAGGAAGTGGGTAGGGCGGTGGTCCGAGGCGCCGGCAGCAGCTGCCGCCGCCTTTGTGACGAGGAGACAGCCGCACGTTTGCAGGGGAGAGCACCTATAGAAAATGGAAATACTGCAAACGTGGCTTCATTTTTAGAATTTTTACTCGATTTTCTCCTCCTTAAGCTTGAAATGGCTTCACTGTTCTGTACTCCTAGCCAGATTTTAATGTTGAAACGCCGCAAGCAACAACTCACAGCGGTCAATTTCGTGCTTCTGCATGAGTACTAGTCCTCCTGTGAGAGCGATCTTGCCAGTCTGGGCCCCCGCATTTCGAAAGGTTGAAAGGGGGCCCTTTTTTTCTGTAGAAAGAAGTGTCTTTAGCCCGGAAGGAGGCGGAGGTGGGGTTTCAGGCAGGGGCTGCGAGGGGGGAAAGCGCACTTCTGAGCCGGGAGGAACGAGGCTGGGCGGCGTGGCTCTCAACCTCCCTCCTGGCTTTGTATCTGCAGCTTCCTTTGCAACCATGTCTGACAAACCCGATATGGCTGAGATTGAGAAATTCGATAAGTCGAAATTGAAGAAGACAGAAACGCAAGAGAAAAACCCACTGCCTTCAAAAGAAAGTAAGCCCCCCCACTTCTTGAGAAAAGGCTGGGCGGGAGGGGCGGGCGGGTAGATGGGAGGATGGGAGGGGCCAGGGGGAAATGGAGGGGAGTGGGGGAGGGGCCGGCAGCTTTATGATGAATGTGGCCCGGAAAGGTTCATTAAAAATTGTTTGGCAGCCAACAAACCCAGGGCTACAATAATTTAATGATGGTATGTTTAATATGCCATATTAACATGCGTATAGTTGTATCTGTTCAAATACTCTTACTATGTAACGCTTCGTGATGAAATACCTATTGATACTTGTAGAACTTTTACGATTCAGAAACATGTTTTAAATAAAAGCAGTAGATACTAGGCTACACTAAATCCGCCTAACCGGCCCCCTCCACCTTCTTTCTTTCCAATCACAGCGATTGAACAGGAGAAGCAAGCAGGCGAATCGTAATGAGGCACGCACCGCCAATACGCACTGTACATTCCACAAGCATTGCCTTCTTATTTTACTTCTTTTAGCTGTTTAACTTTGTAAGATGCAAAGAGGTTGGATCAAGTTTAAAATGACTGTGCTGCCCCTTTTCACATCAGAACTACTGACAACGCAGGCCGCACCTGCCTCTCCCATCTGCCCGGGCATCTGGCTGGCAGGGAAGGAAAAGAACTTGCATGTTGTTGAAGGCAGAAGCTGGGTGGGACGACAGTGAAATCTAGAGTAAACACCAAGCTGGTCCAAGGTGTCCTGCAGGCTGTAAAACGCAGTTTAATCAGAGTGCCATTTTTTTTTGTTAAAATGATTTTAATTATTGGAATGCACAATTTTTTAAATAATGCAAATAAAAAGTTTTAAAACCTGGTTGGTGTGACTGGTGTCTGGAAGGAGCAAGAGCGGCTTATTCATAGATGAAAACTTTGGGAAAGGGCCTGCCTGTCCTCACTGGGGAGCGATAAATGACAAACATCTGGTAATTGGGGTAAATTCTCTGAAGACAGAAATGGGTTTCACCCGGGATGTGAAAACGGTGTCTATGCTCGGGAATTGTAAGGTCATTTACTTAGGCTGGTTGAATTCCCTAATATGAGTTGAAGGAAAACGTTGCTACAAATAGATTTGCAGTTCTTTTATAGGGTTTGATAGGCTAATGATGAATTGATGGCATCTGATCTAGAAAATGAAGGGGATCGTTCAGAGCCCAATAGTTCAGGTGTCTAATTGAACTTGGTTATTTAGCCAATGACCAGCATTGACAATAGAATGGAAGTCCTGTCGGAAGGAAAATACATTTTTAACAGCTGCATGATGAAAATTCAAGACATGTTTTTCCTTATCTAATGGCTGGTTCCAATTCAGTGTTTAAAATTACTTTTATACAGTAAGTACACTTAAGATAAATGCAGAGGATTTCAAAATTTCATCTTAATTTGAATAAAACTTGGGATTTCAAGGACGCTAGCAGAACAAAGATGAAACTTGGGCTAAGTTTCAATCCAGTAGGATTTCATTGGCTCTGCGCCAGGGCTTGCCTGCCTTGAGTCCCTGATAACGTCTCAATCATTTTAAGTACTGTTTAAGTGGTGGGTAAAAGCTAAACCCTCATTTGGGAGATTTTAATGTGCAGAAAGGGAAAGTATCAGTTATAAGTACAAACAGCATTTAAGAACGGGTCAATGCAAGTGTCCAAGAAGTTAAACTCCCCCTCCCCCCCAAAAAAAAAAACTCATGGAAAAAAACCCTTTTTGAAGGAGAGGGGAGGAGGGCCAATTGTTCATCAAGCCGGTTGATTTTATTTCCTTTGCTCAACACTTATTTTGAGAAATGCACAGGAAACCATTTACCTGTGGTTTACACAGTCAACCACACAAGCAGCTAGAAGCCTTCATCTGCGTGGCGAGGGAAGGGATGTGTACCTGACGTGCCACGGCCCTCTGGGTCCTTGGAGAACAGAGCAGCGGGCACAAAGTCAGCTGGGCCCTGCAGCCCTGCCTTTTCTTTTCCTGCTTGCAAGGAAGGGTGTGGGCAGAAAGAAAATCCCCAAGGCACAAAGATAAACCAAGCCCTGTAAATTTTTGCTGTATGCGCTTTTCAAATGATGCAGAGATGAAATCAGATTTTAAGAAATTCACACAACTTCAGTGTTCCTCAGTTTAAAAATAAAAATGAGCAGTACAGGGGTGCAGGAATGATTCATGAAATCAAGTGATGGAAGAGAAGACCTTTCCTGGGAGGGTAAAGCTAAAATGGAGCAAAAATAAATAAATAAATAAATATATATATATATATATATCTGGTAATGATTGAATTTGGGCTGCTCGGTATGTGGGAAGAGCAAATTCAATTGCTTCTCTACATAGCACACGACACAACTGCAGCACGTGGGGATGGGGGTGGGAGAGGCTATGTTTTAAAATTTTTTCGATGGGGAAGAGAATGCTTTTTCGTCCCAGGAGACAGTCTTCCCAGAAGGCCAGGGGGTATTTATGAATCAGTCTGGGAATGTATACTGCTATTTAGGAGCTTGGAGAGGATGGTCTCTTTCATAGAATGGGGGCCTGAGGTTCGCCATAAGTTGGCCATTAGAATGGGGTATGGGTCCAATTGAAGGCGCCTCCGCCCCCCAGGAGGAAACAGGCCAAGGGAGCTTACATAGGAGCAGAAGGCCACACAGTACAGTCTGGGACTTCTGCAAATTTTGAATTGATCAGGCCGAATAAAGCAAAAACAGGAAGTAAAAGCAGCACACCAAAGGGTCTTAGGGACGGACTCCTTCTAAGTCTCACAAATTCCTCAACCATCGCAGCCACGTTTTCAGTCTTCCAAAGGATAGAATTTTAAAACTACTTTATTTCTTCCAGGAGAACAGCACAGCTGTTGGGCTGTGTGTGCACGGATGGAGTGTATGAGATGGGGACTGAGTGTGTGTATGTGTGTGTGTGTGTGGGGGGGGGTGCAGACACACATGCGAAGTCCTAACTCAAAACGCTCCCCTGTCCAGGGCCTCTCCCTTCCCCGACATTCAGGCATCCTCCCCACACCCTGGGGGTTAGAAATTGTCTCCTTTAAGCTCACCAGGAAGATCCGTTTGTTTCTGTAAAACAAACATCCAACTCCACAAGACACAAAAATGAAACCATTTTCTATTCTTTCTCAATGTATGGGGCCAATTTTGTGCTTACTAGAAAGAACAGTATGTTTTGGAACAAACATTATGGCCGAAACATAAAAATAAAAAATCTCGAGCCTTTCTTAGTTCAGGAATGTAAATTCAAAACATTGTTTCATAACGTTTAAAGCACTTAAGGCTTGATTTACCCTAGTAACACCTTCGCTGTCCTTGCAAGAGAGGAAGAAAAATACCCTCCTCTCAAGCCCAATTTCTCACTTTTAAAAGTGGCTTCCACTGCAATCTAAGAGAATTAAACACACCAATTTGAAGTTCAACTATATTTTATTTGCATGTAATTACAAATTTAAGTCACAGATATACTATGAAGTAAGCTAAGGAGAAAATACATTTCTAAAACCTCTATTTACCTGGCTTATTTTTTTTCCTTGGATACTTGTGTAGCTTTTTATCTCTACTCACACATTGTCGTGCTAGGAATGGTACCATCCCTACTCTTGGCGTCTGAGACTTTGGTGGGCAGGGTATGTGCACTCTATGTTCATACTCGTGTATTCTTCCTTTTAGGTCCAACAGTGCCTTGAATTAATGGACACATGTTAGGGCTTCAATATGCACTTTCCCCCTCTTAATTGATGGAGACTTAACATACTTGTTTTGGGGTACTTTTGAATACGTGAATGTCATTCTAGATAGCACAATTTGAAATATATTTCTACAAACATTTAGAGAGCTTTGAATGCAAATTTGCCAGTGTCTTTGGTTGTGCTAATTCTGAATCAATTCTGATGGTCAACTACCTATTATTGAGCTAGAACAGTGGGTCATTAATTGACTCCACCAATATTTATTGACTGCCCAGTACATGTCCAGTATTTTATTTGCCACAATGATGCAGTTGTAAATAAGAAGACATAATTCCTGCTTTCATGTGTCTTCCCTTGGTTAAAGATGCCCTTTTCACCTGAATCTGAGTGGAAAACGCTAAGAAATTATTCTCGTCCATTTTTAGGGTGAATACAGAACCTAAGTGCTTTGCAATTTTAAATGAGTGTTCAGATCTATTCTTTGCATCAGTGTGGACTTTTTCCCAAATGTATCTATAATGATTACATTCAAATTCCTCCCCAAACTCCAGGGCAAGTGAAATTTGATGCAAGCCAACTGATTCTTTGCACTACAATCAAATATTTTATCAGCGTAGAGAGATGGGGCCTAATGGTCCTTGCCTGTTGGTTATCTTTTGATCACCCTTTATAAGGCATGCCCAAGATTCAGGAATGGACTGAATGTATATTATTTTAAAATCTATCTGTCTTCTAGGATTTGATGATTTAGATGCGGAATTTTCAAAAAAATGCTTGTTATTGCTAAATCCTTACCCTTCCTCTATCAGACTTTCTCCAATTCAACTGTAAGATCGTTGGGGGCAGGAATGGTCACTCAAATTCTGAAATCCCTCAGAGAACATAGCAAAATGACCACCATGTGAGGAGACACATAAGTATGTATAGCAACTTGCTGACTGATGGCTGGGTCACATTTGTTTAGTAGGATTCCACCGTTTTGAGCTTCAGTGAGGGACAAGTTATGTTCATGATCTATTCAAAGCAGTTGGAGCTATTCCTGTCACATTATTGTCAAACCACAGGAAATTATGCCTTTCCTCATTGCCACACTGAGCCTGTAAGTGGCTGATATCCTTTGGCTACACAGGGACTTTGTGAGATAGTGTCTTCCCAATCTAGAAACAAAACTATTTCACAAGATTTTATATATATATATATATATATATATATATATA